TATGGTGATTTGAAAATGTGCCATTTAGATTTAAGAATTACTATTGTGATTGTTGAGACTGACCTTAATTTAATTTACTTATTGATCTCAATTAGTCCTAAGACTAAACCATAAAGTTGATTATAAAATACGTCTGCTTTTAATTGTGAATGTAGTTATTATTTCACTTTTTTATAAATGGTCAACCTCTGGTACAAATCTTGATAACAACTGGAGCCGGCTGGTCAAATTAGGGTACATCCCAGTTTTATACCGATTATCTTGAATAATAAAATAAACAAAAAGAAATCAAATATTTTCCTTCCCAAATACAATTTATAACTAGGCAACTTACAATATAAAAAATAAATTAGCAATAAATATCGCTGTTAGGCTATATAGCAACATTTTAAAGTTAATAATTTCCTTTAATTGGTTTGAGACCGGGACATCCACCCTAACTAAGATTTTATTGTTTTCGTTTCGATACAAATTTGTTTAAAGTATATCATTTGCGTCTTCATAAATTTTAAGTATATTTGGTTACTTTTCACCAAAATGGACATAGAAACATAATTAACAATTCGAAAACTATGATAGTTTTCGTGAGCTCAAACTCGTACTAAGGGTACAGGGCAGGACTCGTGCTGTCGTGCACGTAGCATAAGTTGCGAAAATTTTTTACTAGATGGCGTTACTATTAAGAAAATAATTTTAGAATAGTTACAGAGGAGCTATGCATTCTTTATTTTTAAAAGAATTTGTTCTTTTTACCTACGATATAGTGTTTGATACGGAGATTGAGTCACTTTAACGAATTGATGGCATAAGATGCGCAAGGATAGGTATCCAAATCATTAGCATACTACATGTTGGTTTTCGCGAATGAATCTGTCTCGAAAAACCAAGATGTCGGTGATGAAAGTGATCATTATGATGAAGATTCTCAGTCTTCGGATTCCTAGTGTGGACTGTATATTGGTTGACGAATTCAAAACGCTGGTTGTTGCTTTACTACGTTGGAGATCTTTATTCTTCTAGCTAGTTGTTCACACGATGACTGTTCCTGGTAGACTACAATTTGCCTTTTTTTTCCTCCGAGGCGGGTGTGAAAACCTAATAGATACTCTTCAGCCGGCTGCAAGGTTATGCTAGACTCCTTTTGACTAAATCACACCCGTAATTCATGCCTATGACTGGAAGGGCATTACAAGCTTCATCTGAAGCGATCATCCTCTGAGAGGGAAATGATGCAGGCAATTTGCCTTACATTAATTATAATTTGGTCCCGGTTGTCCGGGACCGTCGACCAACCCACTGCCGGATTTAGGGGAGGGCAACCGGGGCGAAAGCCCCGGGGCCTCCACAAACGGGGGGGCCCCCACAATAGAGACTTCGGAAAAAACATCTTTCAAATTCCAACTAGTCTAAACATCTTTTCCTTTGGTATTTTTTTTTTTGCTCTTTTACCTTTACCCAGGGCCGAATTTAAGGCAGAGCAGGTGGGGCTGTGGCCCAGGGGCCTCCACAACAGCTTAAGAAATAACAACATTTCAATGGGTCAATAAGCATACAAATCCAAAGTGGCCCGGGGTCTCCACAATCCTAAATCCGGCCCTGACCAACCACAGCGCTCACTTAAATGCGCACCCCCCGCGCGTACCTTAAAAAGTCCACCTTTTGATTGACAGTTCATCACGCGACTATACCCCGTCGCACAATGCCTCGCACCCCTCTGACGCCCGTAAAGTAGGCCTTGTGATTGGTCGACACGTTTTTCTGTTGGTTCGGTGCACGGCTGTCGAAAACTACTATACATAGGTTAGGTACAAACTTAAAATAAAAAACCGGTTGTTAAATTGAATTGAAAGTGTATAAGTTGTCTGTTGAATTTAAAAACTTACAAAACTGAAGTGGATTTTTAGAGGTGACCATTTAACGTATAGGTATACCCTGACCTGACCATTAACTTGAAAACTCAACGAAAGACATACAAAACCAGTAAAGGGCGGTATAGATTTTTTTTCTAAAATATGGATAAGTAACTTTTTCATTCATGCGCTCATTCAGAAATACATACATTTAAACTGCAATCTACAATGTAATTAGAAACTTTTAAATACTGACTATGGTGTCGATTCTGGCGTGATTCTTAGTTTAGGTTTAGAGATTCATGCCAGAATTTACATCAATATCTCTTGGACTCATAGGCTGGTATTACAGAATGACAACTAAGTGTTGATTTTTACTCATGATATTCTAAATATTATTTATTTTTGCTCATAGCGACATCTCTTTCTAACTGTACTCAAGTAATGATCAACACTTAAGTAGTTGTCTTTCTTTAATACGAGCCTTAGAGCATTGAACTTATGAATTCTTTTGATGTACATATTTCTTTATTCAATAGTTTAATTTATTTATATTTACATAGAAATATTTAACATTACAAAAGCTTAAAACTACTTAATGTCTAAAAACTCAACCAGAAATAACTAAGTACCTAAATAATATACAATTTACAAAATAAAAAATATATCGCCCCCAGCGCCGCTGTCAGGAATGGTACCCAATAGGCTGGCAGCATTTCCTCGTTGGATAGCAAGGCTAATCCGTTGACCAAGGTAGCTGAAAGCCTTTTGATCACCAGTCGCCTCGGTGAGTCTTTTAGACAATTCCTTAAAAAAGGAACGAGCGCTTAGTCCGCCATAGTCTCAAAACCAAACGGCACAAATATATAGTTCTCATTGAAAGCTGAATATTTGCGCCGCTTGGAGCACTCGGCAGAAGCCGCCGCCGCGCCTACAGCCAGGGAGGTATAACTTGTATGGCACGGAGCGAGCGTATCCACGCAAGTTGCGTCCCATACGAAAGGACGACCCTGCTACGGAATGAGTGTCATGCCGTCTGGTCTCTTGCCATCGTCTCGAAAAATGCCGCTAAGCTCTGGGACCGCTGGCACATTGACTGCGATAAGAGCTCTGCCTCGACCAGCGCTCATTTGGCATGAGAGACCATGGTATCCCAACTCACCGACGCGAGTTCCGCAACGACAACGATGGGGGTTATTGGTCTTGACGCCAAGTCTAAGTGAAATTGCTAGTGATAGAGTGCTCCTGTCATGCAAAGTCCCGATATTGGCTGAAGGAAGAGCTTGCAGCCAATAACCAGACTCTACCTGAAAGACCACTAAGAGGCGAGCACGCTCAGCTGCGTTTTCAGAGGACGCTAAAAGATCACTCTGAAGACGCAAACAGAGTGGCTCATCCCATTGCCTCTGTGAAAATAAGGACAATGGTGGATCTACTCCCGGGCATGCCCTACACCAAGCATTCCTGGCCTCTGCTAGGTGAGCCAGCTCCACTACGCCTAAAGAACAAGGGCGGATCCAGCTTTGGCGCCAGGGGGGGGTCATATAGCCAGCTTTGGCTCCAGGGGGGGGTCATATAGTCGTGGTATATTAAATATTGAAAGTACTTAAATAAAATCCCCCTGGGTTTGGTCCATCTGTACCCAGCCCAGGGGGGGGGGGGGGTCATAACCCCCATGACCCCCCCCCTGGATCCGCCCTTGCTAAAGAAGGACATAGTATTTTATTAAAGAGCTCGGCTGTACCATGTGCAGAAGACAGGAAAGCGGGAAGGGCAATATGTGAAATATGGCGAGTACAAAGTCCCCCGAGACTAAAAGGGGGAGAGGCCTGCTTCCAAGCGTTATATTAGAAAATGAATAATTTAGAATTTTGGAAAGTGTCCCAGAGCGAACTGTCAATAGATGACAGTAGTCCTGGAAAAAGCCGAAAATGAGTACTACGTAAAAAATATATGAAATTTGGGGCAAAATTTGTTCATTAATAAAAATCGGAATAGCATCGTCAAATATGGGGGAACCTAGGAGACGGAGTGATTTATTATCAAAAATTTTAATATTAGGAGCTAAAGCCGAAAATTTGGTAAAAAAATTGTGTGTCCGAAGCACGACCGGAGTTTACACTCTAAAAACGATTGTCTTTGAACAGACACAAAACAAAATCAAGTCCGAAGAAGTCGGTTACAAGTAGAGATACCTCAGGAATCGTCCCATGGTTTCGACTATCATAGGTTCCATGTCACACATTTTATCATCTAACATCAGCGATATTCATCATATATTTTATTATGTATTTCTGGAAACACACAATTTCAAAAATATCACACACTAGTCATCATTTTGTAAATATGTATTATAATTCCATCTGTACTGAAAATCACTATTCCAGAGTGCTGGACACTTACCGGCATTTCTGTATATTCTGTTATTTATTTGTTTTCATTAATTTTGCTCCGATTTTATCTATTTTTAGTTTATTTATTTTATTGACATTTGTGACAACTTAATGTTTTTTATCCGTTGCCATGTCTAAAAGTGAAAGGTGCGCAGATGAGGTTGCGCAAAAAAACGTAACGAGGTCATTAATGTCATTCATCGATAGATTTAACTCCTCACATTTTTCTCATGCCGGGCCCCTTATATATGCAAATCGATTCTTAAGGAGTAAACTCCAATAATGCATTTTCATTGATCCGGTGAAAATTTCGATTCGGGAATAAATAGCTCGCATTTTAAATAATTTAGATCAAGGTCAATATTTTTAAAATTATCAATAATGACGTGAGAATCTGAAAGAACTGTTAAATATCGCCAGCAATAGTTCCGTCATCAAAGTACCACACATTAAATTTTGAATTTAGCGAATCAATAAAATAGGTTGAATTGCCAAACTAAAGATAGCGGGCCCGAGAGGATCGTCTTGCTGACAGCCAACAGACGAATAGTTATTTTATTTTATTTTTTTTGGGATAACAAACAGCGTCCACAATATAACTCATATCTATGAAATAAGTTGTTGATTCATATCAACATCTCTTTACTTTTATTTATGATATTCTTATTAAACTTTTTATCGCGTAATAATAAACTGCTACATTGACGCAAAGTTCTAATAACCCCTTCCTACACTCCTACGGCGCATGTCCTTTCACGTTTCATGAATCGATATGCTTAGTGGCCGTATTTCACGCAAGCAATTCTGTTTCTGTTTTATTTTTATTAATTGAATAGAATAACGTTTTATAGTGTAACAGTGTGCCGCTGAAGTGGCCGTGGAGGGAGAAGGTAGTGCTGTGGCGGGAGGCGTAGGCCTCACCGTGAGTAGTAAGGTAAACATAATACAGTTAAACAAACACCTTTTACAGTGAATTATGTAGAATTGTTAAAAAAAATCTTTATATCTTTCATCCTCGCTGTTAATATGCAAATCTTAGTTTACTACCGACCCTATTCCCAGAAATTATATAATGCCAGGATCACTACGAATATTTTGGAAAATCGACGAGGTTACTTCCTGCTTTCTAATAAAAGGGTAACAATAACCTTATTAACTACCTCATCTTAGTTAATAGCACATTCCTACATTTTTTTAAGTACAACCACCAGGTTGATTGGGTATGCTCCATTCCTTCTTACCAACTCGTGCACTTTTTTGCACAGGTGCACTAGACTCCTATTTTGGTCTTGGAGCTTTAAAAGAAGGTAGACTTAAATAATGCCATACATCCCTACTGACATATCTCCACTAGTAGGTATTCTTCGAGTTTTTCTCCATTTTTCGCTACCGGTTGGGATGGAACTTTCTAATCCCTATTGATCTTAGACCATATGCTCTAAGCTAGTAGAAGGCTTGCCCAAAGCCGAAAATTTATTTAAAAATTCAATTAAATAATTTTCATGGGGTGGTCCCATACATGAGGGGACGATTTTTTTTTATTTTTTAGCTCAGAATGTCTAAAGTACAACATCAAACATCATAGTCTAAAGTTCGTTGAATCGGTAGGATAAAGGCAAATATAATTTTTATTATTAACTAGCTGTGCCCGCGGCATCGTTCGTGTGGATGTCGGAAAATAAAATAATGTCGTACGTTAGCTAATGCTTCTTGCATAAAGAAATGTAAGGCTAGTATTTCTAGTAAGCGATATTAATTAAGAGTCACTGGGATCGGGCTAGGGCACGGGGTGTTGGTAGGATAAGATGGAGGGTAACGAAATAGTGTCCAATACATACGTTGTTCCTTTATCACCCTCACTCCCACAATCCATTTCCGTAACAAAAATTGGGGGTCGTGGGAGCCTTCCTGAAAAGTCTGTCTTGCCTAATTAAAAAAACATTTAAATTGAACGTGCTTGCGCTTCTCCGACCGCGGCACGTTCGCTTTGCTCGCTCGGTGCGCGCTTTGTTTTGGCCGTAACACTAACCTGACCCTAACTTCGTCTGTTTACTCGGGAGCTCTACTGCTGCTCCGGTCTCCCGAGCACTCCCACCCTCATGTGCCCCCTTTCCTTGAAGGTGCCCTTGATCACGTGTGCCGAAAACCCTGAGAACCCCCGTTCCTTGGACGCCTCCACTCCTCGGGTGCCTCCGTTGACCCCGACCTCTAAGAATCCCCTCCCACAGTTGACGCCAACCTCTAGGAAACCTCGACCACCAACAACCCCCGCCCCCAGGGGCGCCCTAGCCCCAGGTACATCTACATCCGACAGCTACCCTTTTAAATTAGTAGTATTACAATTAAATTAATTTACTACGTAGTTAATTAATTAAATTAAATTAAATAATAAAGAAATAGCACGTCACGTCAAGACATAGTACTATTTTTCATACAATACAATATTTTTATTCACACTCGACCAAATCTTAGAGACTTTTAACAAAGCTACTTAGTAAAAATAAAACGTAAACCAAAACGCAACGAAAAATCAATCAGCGCCATCTATTATTATTTATCAGTGCTGAGTGTTCAATTTTGTTTCAAATCACATTACCGTAGGTACTACTGCGTGGCTATTAAATTGTGATAACTTTGCGATAGATTGCACCGATTTTAATAATATAAAAATTAAATTTTACCCAGAGATACAATCTATCAATATATTTTTAGATCATTACATTTGATTTAGCGGTTTTAGTGTGATGCGGTAACAAATATATACTTAGACAAAAGTAAAAAAAAACATTATTATAGACCACTTATTCTAAGACAATTTTTTTTGCAAATACATTCAATTGCCAGCCACGTGTAGCTTACATTTTTATTATATTAATAAAGATTCTTTTCAATAACAAGCAAATGGGAGGCCGTCAAGACAATTTTAGACCATTTACGGGGTCCATCTCAAAATCGAAACTAGTTAAGAATGTGAAATTTTGGTATATATATATGCAGGATTACAGGGAAAGTCGTACTGAATATTGAAGGACGTTATTATTCAGGTCATTTCTGATGGATTTGGTCCTATAATATGGTGTCCGAAACTTAACCGTTATGGAGATATTGGTGTCAATTCTGGCGTGATTCTCTAAACTTAAAACTAAATTTAACATCAGTCTCTCCTTTTCATTCTGTATAGAGAATGACAAGGATATACTGCTGTCAAATTTAAGTTTAGGTTTAGAGAATCATGCTAGAATCGACATCATTGGATATTAAAGATTTTTTAAAAAAATCCTATATTATTTGGGTTATTGTCGATTTTTTTGAAACTAGGGCTCCAAAGGTCCGATTTTTTAATGTATCTGTTAGAAGACATGTCAAGCAATAAAAATAATGAATAAAAACTGAACCTACTTCTAACGGCTTAAAAAAACTACTCGACAACGGTTATAACTAAAGAATTTTCACCAAGTGTCCTTAACTTTGAAGCGCTTTTCTAAAAAAAAATGTATGGAACTTATTCTGCAAATAATTTTAAAAACTTCTAAGTCTCTTTAGCTATTCAAAAAGGTATAACACTTGCTATTAAATTGGCAAAACATTGAGTGAGGAGTGAAGTATCTAAATTTTACGCTTGAACGTCAACTCCCCAGCCACCCTGTATATGCTGTACTCAAACGACAAATTATACTGAAAACGCTGATTCCTGTACTTTGTAAGTTGTGATGAAAACAAAAATGATTTTGCGGAACCCTATAAATATAATAGAGCGACTCACGCTTCGCCAGTTTTTTTAAGTTTGCTCCCAAAACGTATGAAATGGGCTAATAGTGCTTATAGTTGAGCTTCACTACACACAGGTGTATCCCAGTCCGGGGGCGGCGCGCGGCGTGTGGGCGCTGCCGCAGCCGCCCCCCTGCTCGATGGCGGCGGAGGAGCCTCTCCCACCGTGCTCGCCGATGTCGCCGGACACGCCGGCCGCCCCGCCCCGTGCCATCACCAGCTTGTATCACCACTCCGACTTACACCAACTGATTTTTGAGGCGGTGCGCTCGGGGTAAGAAAGGTTGTTGCTGGATCTCAGGCAAGGCAGGGGGGGGGATAGGGGCAGATGGCCCCCACAACAGACTTAACAAAATAACCAAATTTCGACGGGTCACCAAGGGAGGGGTGCAAATCGTAAGTGGCTCTTTAAAATATGCTCCCGTCAGGGGCCTCCACTTCCTTCGTTGCCCCAGGCCCCGCCCCTGAACTTTTGTATCATAAAATGATCCTAGTCAATAAAATTTTAGAGTTGTGATTTCTGGTCAGGCCAATGTAGAAGTTTAGTTATTAGGTAGTTTTTAAAGATCTTTTGTGCTTTTCCAGTGAGGTATCAGAAATAGAACGACTAGTGGAGAAGCTGGGCGTGGAAGTCTTGAGCGCCCGCGATCAGCACGGGTACACGCCGGCACACTGGGCCGCACTGGATGGCAGCGTTGCAGTGATGCGGTACCTCGTAGAGAGAGGCGCTCCTATCGACCTGTCCTGTCTGGGCACCCAGGTCAGAGTTGGACTTACACCCATATTCTTAATCGCGTCCTCAAACGTTCCCCGACTCAAACTCATTCGAGGGCTCCTTAAGGAGTTCCTCCAAATAACCTCGAAAATGGTATTCTAGTTGGTATCTTGAACAAACTTGAGAATTCCTCCACTGAGAATTCCTCAACATTGTGACGTCATCATTTGGAGGATTTTATTTCTATAATGGTTAACACAGGAAATATTACTTGTATGACTGTATCTTTTCTAAACCGAAATCTTCTTTGAAACGAATCATTGTCGTAAACCTTAAAAGGATTTGCGGCATCACGTAAATACCGTCGCGCCGGAAAATTATATGGTTAATCATCGTGTATGTGTTACTGAATAAATAAATAAATAAATCGTATACGTAATCCATAAAATCCACAAATTCGTCAATAATCTCAAAATCAGACATAAAACTTGAAAACACCTTAAACACCACTCGAGGAAGCCTTAAGGCACGTCGAGAGCTACCTTGAGTTTGACAGTTTATTCCTCGACTCGACCTCCACTCGAGTGAGGAATATCTCAAGTGAAGGATATTTTTGTTGTCTAAGCATACGAATTTCCTCCAATGAGGTTGAGTCGAATGGAAAAAATCTCGAGGAAACGACTAAGAATATGGGTGTTAGGCCCGTATTATAGACAGATTCTCAGCGATTGATGTAGTCTTCAGCATAGTTAGAAAGGGATGTCGCTATATATAGCACATAACGACATCCCTTTCTTACTGTACTCAAGTTAAGATCCACACTTATAGTCGGTCCATTCTATTATATCTTTTTGATAGATCGATCGAAGTAAAAATAGTGACACCCTATCGCATAACTCGTTCGATTTAAAGCTATAACCGATTTTATGCTAGAACATTGTTTAATCGATTATAAGTATCGAAATTATTTTAGTTATCAAAAATACTGGTGTTTAATAAATTATTACAAAATATCATTAGATATATTATTTTACCTAGTACAAATATTTGTGTGATGAGCACGAGTATTTGTTCTGTGTCTGGGTGTGATTTATCTATAATATATATATACACAACAAAAAAGCAGTATACTTTTTATATGTTTGCATATCCTAATACTAAAACTCTGTACAATTAGATTTATTAATTATAATTAATAATTTCATTTAAAAAAGGTTTATAAAAACTATATCTTTGACTTCTTACGTTTAAATATTTTTAAGTGTTGGCAACACCATGTTGTGGTGGTGTATGGCGCCATTTTGAAGTCACTTGTTCACTGATCTTGTGACAGTTGCAACGTAATTCTTCTTTTTGAACATTTTATCAACGTAAGTTGAGTAGTCTGTCGGGGACTATCAACCTCTTTTTTATACTTTTTTTATAACGCATTTGAAGTGACGTTTTATTGTAAAACAATTCTGTTCTTTTTTTTTGTGTGTCAATAAAAATCGTTTGGAAAATTTACCTACGTATTTTTCTTTCGGGAAATAATTAATTATTTTCACAAGTCGTATAGTGTTGATTTGTTACTTTGTATTGAACAAACCGTTCTCCTGTAAGCTCTGAATATGCCAGAAGGAGTTGTGTTGAAAGGACAGACGCGGGAGTTTGTGGTGCGGCTACAAGAATATTTTGAGAAAGAGAGAAAGAATATAGTAATGAGTCCAGTTTGTATGAAGAATCTGATACGTCTGAATAAATAAAAAATAAAATAAGAAGACATTTATATAATGAACTTTATATAATGTAAATATTTTAATTACTTGGTTTCTACCTTACAATTTGGTTGTACTCATTTATTTCTACCGATTATTTGTAATCTGTGGCACATCACTATATAAGTGGGCGGTACCCATGAAGTACCATATTATTTGTATGACATTTTAACGTAAACAATTCAAAATTTTATGGGCGTCGATCTGTCAAAAGATAATAATAGAATGGACAGACTTTAGTTGTCATTCTATAATACGGGCCTTAAACTCGGAAGCAACCTGTTATATTATCTAATATATATAACATTCTCGTGTCACGGTGTGCGTAATTGAAATACTCCGAAATGGCTCGACCGATTTTCGTGAAATTTTATATGCATATTCAGTAGGTCTGAGAATCGGACATCTATTTTTCATCCCCCTGAATGTGGTCCACGATTAAATTATTTTTTTTGGACAAAATTTTTGTTTTTATTTTTTATGATACATCATACAAAAATACATACAACCCTTTCTACCACAAACCCCTATTGTTTTATGGTGGTACGAAGTTCGCTGGGACAGCTAGTTATAAATATAATTATTTCCTACACTCACACCAATTAGCCTTACCTTAAAGTGAGCACTGTAAGGCTCACAGAACACAGAAAAAGATTAGAAGGGCTTTGTGGGCGGGGCAGGCGCGTCACTCACAATTATGTGTGAGCAAATGCTCATAACTTGATCAAAACTTTATTCTAATTGCGTCGTTGCTCTCGGTTGTGAACGTTGATTGGTTCGATTGTTTGATGTCGCATCGTTTGATTAGCTAATATCTATAAGGTGGAAGTGGGGGCGACATCGGTCTAAAATCACCCTTCTAACCTCTTTCTGTATTCTGTGGTAATAGTAGGGAAACCCTAGCGGGGATTTTTGGATTTACTCGAGCGCGGCAGAATAACATATGGGGAGCAACCTTGTACCTAGTTAAGTACTCCCACCATACCTGGGGGCCAATCGCCTAACTGGATTGCTTTGGAAAACGCTATCGCTTACGATTTCATTTTGTTATTTCTAACCGCCGAAATACCTCACGCTCATTTTCTTTAACATTGTTATTACCAATGCAAAAGAAAAAAAAAGAGCGCGAGGCATTTGAAAACCTCAGGGGGCTAGAAATAACAAAATGAAATCGTAAGCGATAGCGTTTTCCAAAGCAATTCAGTTAGGCGATTGGCCCCCTGAGCCCTCTTTGTAGGGCCGAACGTCTAGGGCAGCAAAAACAAAATTTCCACGAACGGTCATGACTTTTGGTCGCGCCCAAATCGTCAGTCTTTTGAATATAAGCTAGAGGGTTCATGTAACGTTTCTAAGAACGGAAAAAATATTGATCTGCCGCGGTTTGCATGATATGGGGGTGGTCGAACAAAGGGGTAAAATATGGGAAAAAATAACCGAGCGCGTCAAACATTGAGGAGGGATGTTACGTGAGGGTACACGTCAGTCTTTTGAATAGGAGCTACTGGAGGGTTCCAGTAGCTCCTATTCAAAAGACTGACGATTTGGACCCAACCAAAAGTCATGGCCGTTTGTTGAAATTTTGTTTTTGCTGCCCTAGACGTTCGGCCCTACATAGATGGCTCAGATATAGTGGGAGTACTTAACTACGTGCAAGGTTGCTCCCCATACGTTATTCTGCCGCGCTCGAGTTAATCCAAAAATCCCCGCTTGGGCTCCCCTAATATAAGGCTTGTGTTATAGAATACTAGGGTAACGGATAGAATACATCAGCTATACTCTAAGTGTGTTCCGCGGAACCCTAGGGTTCCGTGATACCTCTGTCGGGGTTCCGCAAGAATTTAGAAATAAAAAAATCAAAACACCTCTCTCTGGTCGCTCCGCGGCTGTGCGGACTCCGCGGCCGCGCGGAGACAAAACGCTATGAATGTTATTTATTTATTTATTTGTATTTGTATAAGCTTGTGTTACATTAGCTGGTACAATATCTCATAAGTTTGGTCTCAACAATTTTATACTTGTACAACGCGTTCGCTCTAAGTTTGCCGGTCTGTGGAATGCGCGTACCCTCCCCCACGTGACAACAAAACTTATAATGTGTCATAGTTTTACCCAAATATCTAACGTACACAATTTTTATTGTTACAATTAAATAAAAAATTTCGAACGTCATACACTCATACCTATCGCCAGCGGCAAACTTAAAACGAGCGGGTAGTATACTTGTAAGCGCTCAGTCTCTGATAAAAGCCGCCTCTGAATTAGACGCTATAGTTGTCAACTAGCGACTTTCGTCTCTAACTTCAAAGGATAAAGTCGATATTGTTTACAACGCTATTTTTAAATTTCTGTTTTTATTTTTGCTTTTTGTTTATCAAAGGTGCCGACTCGAGTATTTTCGAGAATATTTGAGATCGAGTCTAGGACTAAGTATAAAAGCGGCGATCGCGCGTTGGCGTCGTCAGTTGATGATTAGCGTTCGGAGCGATAAGTTACTACCTACTTACAAGCTCGCTAGCGAGAAACTGGTGTTCATTGTTTTACTGCCTGCTGTATTCTGTTGTCTCAGTTTTATACATTTCTTCCCTGTAGGTTCTAAATTTAGTCTCTTATACGCAGTAACGATTGTGCATTATTTAAACCCCACTATCCTGACTTGTAACATTATAAATAAAGAAGAATGGAACGTTGGCTTAAAGGTGTTAAACGTGTTCCAACAACATCTTCTAATGACGCTGAATGTTCAAAAGCAATGCGCGCGGAGAATTTAGCAATCACCGATCCAGAAGATGATGCCACGAGTGCCACGACGTCAAGCTCGACGGTTTCAAAGACGAAAAAAAGGAAGTATGATGAATCTTATATCAGTTTCGGATTTGTTGATTCCAACGGCTCACCTCTCTGCATGCTCTGTAGTAAACTGCTTCCTAATAGTTCCATGGCACCTGCCAAATTGCGTCGACATTTAGAAACCGTACACCCCGAGACTAAAGACAAGAATAAAGAATTTTTTGTTCGCAAAAAAGATCAGTTATTAGAAAGTCAAAAAAATATGATGCATGTAACACAAACTACCAACGAAAAGGCCACGGAGGCATCATACTTAGTTAGCTATCGCATTGCACAAGCAGGTGAAGCGCACACTATCGCTGAGAAATTAATAAAACCATGTGTATTAGACATAACAAAATGTATGCTTGATGAAAAATCTGCAAAGCATCTTTCTACTGTTCCGCTATCAAACGATACTGTTTCACGACGAATCCATGATCTGGCAAGCTACGTCAAACAAGAACTAGTTACACGTCTACAAAATACACGATTCGCTTTGCAAATGGACGAGTCGACTGATGTCGCTGGTTTGGCTATCCTGCTGGTTATTGTGAGATATCCATATAAAAGTTCTTTTGAAGAAGACATGCTTATGTGTTCATCGCTGCTTACAAACACTACCGGGGAAGAAATTTTTAATAAAATAAATATATTTTTTGAAGAACATAATCTCAGTTGGAACAATTGCATTGACATTTGTACAGATGGGGCCAAGGCGATGACAGGTAAAACAGCAGGAGCAGTGTCACGAATGAAAAATAAAGCGCCTAATTGTAGTTCCAGTCATTGTATTCTGCATAGACAAGCACTTGCGATGAAGCAAATGCCGTCTAATCTAAAATTAGTTATGGATGAAGCGGTAAAAATAATTAATTTTATCAAATCACGACCACTACAATCCCGATTGTTCTCATTATTGTGTGAAGATTATGGCAGCAAACATAAAACACTGCTGCTCCATACAGAAGTGCGATGGCTGTCTCGGGGAAAAACTTTAACAAGGCTATTTGAACTTAGAGCCGAGTTACAAATGTTTCTTTCAGCAGATACTTCTTTTAATTTGAAGGACCGTTTGTATGATAAAACTTGGTTGTTCCGATTGTCTTTTATGGCGGATATCTTTCAAAAACTTAACGAATTAAATTTATCATTGCAAGGTAAACAGACAACAGTGTTTCAGGCCTATAATAAAATAACTACTTTTAAAAGAAAATTAGATTTTTGGATCATTTGCATTGGTAAGAAAGAAATAGAAAGTTTTACGTTACTCACTGAGTTTGTTAGCGAAAACGACTCAGAAATGTTTGAAGATAATGTGTTTGAAGAATTGGTCCAATATCTCAGTTCGATGCGCGCATCTTTTGAAAAGTATTTTCCCGAAGAACACAATACAAAAATTAAAGTGAACTCCTGGATTCATAATCCTTTTTTACCCAACTTGGAAAAGCCTGAAAACATGTCAAATGAGATATATGAATCTCTTTTAGAAATGTCATCAGACACAAGTATGGAGTCATTGTTCAAAACGACGCCTCTTAATGATTTTTGGTGCAGAATCCAAGATGAATATGCAATGCTTGGCCAAATGGCTCTGGATATTCTTCTCCCGTTCCCAACTACATATTTGTGCGAAACAGGATTCTCTACCTACGCAGCCACGAAAACAAAATATCGCAATAGACTGGACGCCGAAGCTGATATGAGACTCCAACTTTCTTCCATCAAACCTGATATCAAGCAATTGATGAAAAATAAAAAACAGTTTCATACCTCCCACTAGTTAGATTTTTTCTTTTTTAATGTTTTCTATTATTGTCCTTACCAAGTGGTGAAGTAAATAATAATTAGTAACGGATACATTGTACTTTTATTATGCTGATTAATATAGAATACACTTATAAAAATAATTGTTTTATTGTAGGGTTCCATCAAGTATTTTGCTTCCCAAAAGGGTTCCGTCATTTAAAAAGTTTGAGAACCACTGGAATACATAATATACTGATACATATAGGTATAAGAATATTTTATTTAGAATTATATTTAAACATCCATGATTAGGTACAAATGCTCGTATTCATCATACAAACATTTGCCCCCACCGGGATTGAAACCCGGGACCTCTGAGTAGGCGACACAGAGGTCGTCAGAATATGATTTGAATTGAATTATAAAATTATTAAATAAAAATGTTATGTCCAGGGTCCACGTCCAATCCACTGGGCATGTCGGAAAGGTCATGCATCAGTTGTCCAAGTGTTGCTGCAATCAGGGGTAGCTGTTAATGCGGCAGATTTCAAAGGTGAAAATTAACTAAACTAAATAAAGATAAGGCAACGCTGGTGGATTATTAGAGTATGCACTTATAGCAGTATATTTACTTATTACGAACATAAACATTATTGGGTACCTACTAACGTATCGTACCAATAGCAATAGACCTAGGACTGCGTTTCCGTATATAAAAAGTACTCTTTGACTGCTATGCAGTGTTTTTTCTTTGTTATGCGAATTCCATATGTCATTTGGGTCATGTGAGCAAAACGTTGCTTGTTGAACTTGTTCTTTGATTATTAATAAAATGGATAAAGCACGTCGTAATTTTATTTCACATGAGCATAAGTACTTACTTTTGTACTCTAAATGTAATAAATGGAATCTCAACTCATTTCCAGGCTTGACGCCACTGATGACGGCGTGCATGTACGGAAAGACCGCTACTGCGGCTTATTTATTGGGGATGGGGGCGGCGACACGACTCTCTGACATTAATGGAGATACGGCCCTACATTGGGCAGCGTACAAAGGCCACGCAGACCTAGTGCGGCTTCTTATCTACTCCGGAGTTCCATTGCATTGCACTGACAACTTCGGTTCTACGCCACTGCACCTGGCATGCTTGTCAGGCAATCTCACATGCGTCCGGCTATTATGTGAAAAGGTACTTACTTACGTTTATTAGGCACTCAATTACTTAGATTAAAGAACTTAGAAAGAAATAAAAGTAAAATTAATGAAATAAAAACCAGCTTTGCGGTGACATAAACTGACAGAATGTATTTTTTTTTAAAAGGTATGAACATCAATATATAATTGATAATCAATAGGTAATTGATAATTTACTTTTACCTCCTTTGTGGACAACACTGCTATCAGTACTGACAATGAAGGGCAAAGTTCGACAATATTATGTTTATTATTCTTAAACACCTTTTTTGTAATAGGAATGTACTTTCAACATTAACAGAATTGCCCCAAAATATGATTCCATAGCTTAATATGGAATATATATTACCATAATAAGCATTTAATGCTACTTCAGTGGATGATATATCGGTCAACACTGACAGGGCGTAACAATAACTACTTATTTTGTCATTAATTTTCTCTATTTGATGATTCCAATTCAGGTGAGTATCTATGGTAATACCAAGGAAATTAGCATATTCTACTTCTTTTATTTACCGCAATTTTAAGGTCCAAAGGTTCTTTTTTATAATTTCTAAGTTGTAGAATGTTAGTTTTTATTAAATTAACTGTTAAATTGATTGATTTACGCCAAGTTGTCAGATTTTGTAATGCCAGAGATATATTAAGTTCAAAGTCATTCTTACACATATCGTCATTCTTAACAAATAAAATAGTCGCGTCATCAGCATACATTGTACATAGATCTTTAATAATATTTGGTAGCTCATTGATGTAGACAAGGAAAAATAATGACCCTAGAATGCTGCCCTGCGGCACACCTATTGGAATTATTTGATATTCTGATTTAGTTTCCTGCAAGGTTTTTGTTTTCCTGTCCAAATATGTCAAATTTACTGCTTGCATTCTTTTAAAAAGATATGACTCTATTAGTTTTAACGCGCAACCTCGAATTCCAATATGCTCAAGTTCTTTAAGCAGAATAGAATGAACAACGCAATCAAAAGCACGTGACATATCAATGAACAAGGCTGCACGGTATTTTTTTTCATCTATTGATTTCCACACATGTTTTAAAAAACTAAAGACAGCCGAGGATGTTGACAAATCCTTTCTAAATTCTAAATCCAAATTGGTTATTACTTAATATATTATTCTTCTCAATAAATTCCATCAATCTCGTGTATAAAACCTTAATATTTTTGAAAACGCTGGAAGTAGAGCAATTGGTCTGTAATTGCTTGCCAAGCCCCGAGGTCCTTTTTTATGTATTGGTTTAATAATAGCAATTTTTAAACTGTCAGGGAAACAGCATTTTTCTATCATCATATTTATTAAATAAACCAGATGGCGAGCAATTATATCGATACATGATTTTATTATTTGAATTTATATTCCGTCATATCCACAACTTTTTTTATTTTTAAGCTTTTTAGTGCAGTCTTTTATTTCATTTCAAGTTATGGGTTTTAGAAATATGCTATTAGTCAAAGAGGTGTTACGGGGAATGTATTGATTATGGGTTGTATTATTTGCGTTTAATTTGACATAGTAATCATTTAAATAGTTGGCTATGTTTTGCGGTTGAGTTAAAATTATATCGTTATTTTTTAATGTGTTTATTGATTCTTATAATTTAGTTTTTTGTGTTGTATGTAATTTTATTAGACCCCATGTGGCTTTTGCTTTATTAGTACTTTTCCTAATAGGGTCAGGCCGCCATTTTTTGCTGACTTTGAAAACTGTTTTCTCCGCGGTCAGTATTTTGAAAAGTATTATAGATATCGGATTTTCGATGACGGCTTTGGATTAAGCAACAAAGTGACTCAAGTGGACATTATGATTATTTCAAGTCAGATAATAAACAAAAAATATATTTCGAATGAAATCTGAAAAAAGGTAGTAAAATTACACAAAAACTTCTATCCGCCGAGGTAGAGGTGCACTTTAACTATCGTAGTAGCAAAAAGTATGTCAGTTTTTGAGACATAGCTAATACTTTAAGAATACTTATATTATCGGCATGTGACGATGCACAGCATCTGTGAGAGTGCGTCGACTTCCGGTCTAGCGATTTCCGTTAATTTTACTTACCGCCATTGTCGTTGCTATGGTAACTTCCTTTAAATTAATACTTTAAAACACTTACTTCCGTTTGGCGCCATTTGAGTCACCTTAAAAGGAGTTGTTGGTGCGCAGTGTTCTCATAGCGTCGTCAACTTTCGTACTAGCAACATCTTAATCAGAAATTCTGCTCGTGATTGATTCGAAAGTTTACTCTTTTTAGAAAAATTGTTTATTGTTAAAGTAAATAGTTAAAATAAAAAATGAGTGAATGTAATTCAAGTGATAATAAAGTGTACATGATGGTGGTTGGTGATGAATGTGTCGACCGCGCTTCGAACGAGGGTAGTTCCGTCCGGCAGCAGGCAGGCGGAAAGCGGCGTGCGAGTTCGGAGCTTTCTTCCGAATCGGAGGTAAAACGAAAGAGACAAGGTACGTCGGATATTGATAATTACAGTATGCTTTTAAATCAAATGAGTGTGCTTACAAATCTTTTAATGAATAATTCGAATAACGTACCTCAATCCAAAAGTAACGATCTGTCTTCTGATCACACTTTAAAACAGTCGTTCTTACAACGCCCCGCTACTATCACAGAAAATAACCTTGAATTAAATATTGGAGTAATGAATACTTTGGTGAAAGAACCAAAGATACTCAGCGCTGACCCCACTAGACTTAGAAAACTAGAGCAATTACAAAAATTTAACGATATTAATTGGAAAGAGGTTCGGTATTCAGATGCCTTAAAAACCTACAGTGCTCAACCGGGTTTTGTCGAACTTCGTATTAATGACGAATTGCGTCAATATATAAAAGGCAAGGATCTTGCGGTCCCCGTGAGCGATCTTTGGCAGCTATTACAAACGGATTGCTTTCTCAACATGAGTGCCTTAAACAACAACTACAGGAGTTTGTCAACTGGGCAGCCGCGCCCAACACTGAGCTTAATCCTTCAAGCGTGTTTGACAAAATATCGGACCTGTTTAATGCTCAGTCTAAATTTCATAAAATAAGTGAAGATATAATGCAAATAGTTTGTGGCAAACGTGCCGAATGTATTGAAGTACGTCGAGAGCGTATCTTGGCGGAAATACCTAACAAATATTTTCGTGAGGGCTTACGAAGAATCCCTCCCAGTTCGGAATTTTTATTCGAAAGCTCTGCTTTGCAATCTTATATTCAAAGCACCGGGGGAATCGATAAGTGGATCCGACACTGGAGTAGTAGTGACAACGAACTCAAGCGAGTCGTCCAAAGGCAGCCCAAGGCGGGACCATCACGTGACCGTGGCAATAAGTCCTTTCGAGCTGATCAAAAACAAGGAATCGCGAAGCCAGAACCTTCCTCTACAGCCGCTAAAACGGTTAATGTCTCGAAATTAAGAAAATTTAATCGAAAAGAAGGATCTTCCAACGATAAGAAAAAAATCAAATGACTACCAAACATTAAACCGACATTTTTACGGGGGCTGTCTCCGAGCGTATCGGAGGCAGTGGCAGGCGCATCAGGCTCCGAAGGCTATCCTGAAAATGATATCAGGGATGCGTCTCCCATTCACCTCCAGGCCTGTGCTTGTCCCACCAACACAGCCCAATCTTCAGCGGTTCAGAACTCCAGAGTCACCAGATATGACCATACAAATCGAGACCTTGCTATCACAACAAGTTCTTGAAAAACCGGATCAAAATCGGCTGGGTATGAGTTTCTTTTCGACAGTTTTTCTTCGAAAGAAAAACGATGGCTCTTACAGACCAATTTTCAATCTCAAAAGCCTAAATCAGTACATAATTCCAAAGAAATTTCGTTTGATATCTCATTTTCAAATCCCAAAATTTCTTCAGAGTCAGGACTGGATGGTGAAGATAGATCTTTCAGTTTTCAGTTGCCACCGCCGGTTCCTGCGCCTAATTTACCAGGGGGATGTGTACCAGATGACCAGTCTTCCCTTCGGGCTGTCGTGTGCACCAAAGTACTTCGCAACAATCACCAACTGGGTAGCTCATCTGCTTCGGAAGAAAGGTATAAGAATCCTGGTTTACCTCGACGATTTTTTACTGGTCAATCAATCAAGGGAGCAGTTGGAAAAGGAAGTGATTGCTCCGAAGGCTATCCTGAAAATGATATCAGGGATGCGTCTCCCATTCACCTCCAGGAAGTGAAAACAACCTAGCAGCTGCTACAGCTGTTAGGTTGGACCATCAATCGCGAGAAATCTGTATTGACACCGAGACAAGAGCTGGAGTACCTAGGCATTACATGGAACACCGTCAGAAACTTCAAAGCTCTTCCTCAGTCAAAGGTAAAATCGATTTTGACCATGACGAACGGCATGTGCAAGGCACCAACTGCGACACTGAAGGAACATCAAGAACTACTGGGAATTCTCAATTTTGCCAGTTTCTCAACACCTGGAGGAAGACTGCATTGCCGGCACCTACAGGTCTTGTCGGAAGCTCCTGAATCTGGCACCAGTCCAGTCAATGGTTTTGACACCAGAAATAAGATCAGACATGAATTGGTGGATGTCAATCATAAAAGAAGGTCACACAAGCAGTCCCTTACACGAAATACCTGTTCAACATTTCTTGACAACGGATGCTGCGGATTACGGTTGGGGAGCTCAGCTAGACGATCACTCGATAGCAGGCAAGTGGAACCAAAATCAAACTCGTTGGCATTGCAACTTAAAGGAGATGTTTGCGACAATATCAGCAGTGTAATACTTCAAACACATTCTGAAGGGTAGACACATAATTCTCCAATCGGACAATCGGACCGTAGTTGCTTATGTTCGAAACGAGGGAGGGACGCATTCAGAAGCACTACTGGATTTGACACACAACCTTTTTCAAATATTAGACCGATCGAAGATAATACTCACGGCGGAATACCTTCCTGGACGATACAATCAGATTGCAGACAGTCTATCCAGGGGCAAGAAATCTGCGGAATGGCATCTGCAACCAGAAGCTTTAGAAACGATATTTCGGAGGTTTGGCACTCCAGAGATAGATCTCTTTGCGTCAAAGGACACGAAGGTGGTACCAGCTATGTATCCAAGGTTGCGAGCGACTCTTCAGCAGCTTTCTGCAACGCCTTCAGCAAAAGCTGGAATTTCAAATTAGCATGGGTCTTCCCACCACCTTCTCTGGTACCCAGAGTACTACATCATCTGAACCAAGCACGAGGTACGTTCCTTTTAGTAGCACCACTCTGGAAACGAGCTTACTGGCTACCCGACCTGCGCCAGCGAGCTTTGACACGTCCCATGAGAGTGGATAACCTTCATCAGGTCCTAATAGATTAGATGACAGGGCTACCACCTCCTCGGGTCCAGGATATGCAACTTTTAGTATGGAAAGTTGGGGGTGGGCCGATGAAATAAAGGATTTGACTGAAACAGAGAAGTCACTACTCAAGCAAAGCTGGAGGGAATCTACTCTCAAGACATATAGACCAGCCTGGCTTTGTTGGACTCAATGGTGTCAGGACAACGTTTTTGATTATAAACATCCCAATAGCAGTTCTCTTTCAAAATATTTAGCTTATTTGCACTTACAGAAAAAAATGTCGTACTCCACTATACTCTTGCATAAATCTGTTATTTAAACTCTAGGCCTTCCCAGAGAGGATCTAAATTCAAATTTTTTGATAAAACATATGCTCAAAGCAATTTCCTTGCAACAGCCTGTAAAAGAAAAGGCTCCTATTTGGAATCCATCTGATTTAATTTCATGGTTAAGCTCTAATTCACCTGTCAGGCTAAACCTGTTTGAAGCTTCCCGTAGACTAGCTTGTATATTGCTTTTAGCATCTGGTAGAAGAGTCCATGATTTGACATTGCTAAAGTTAACTCCTGAACTCTTTAAGGACATGGGTGACCATATAATATTATGGCCTATATTTGGTTCTAAAACGGATACCGCACTATATAGACAGTCAGGGTGGAAACTGACAAATAACACAAATAAAAATATTTGTCCAGTGTTTTGGTTGCGTAAAGTGTCAGAACTGGGTGAGCAGAGAAGAACAGCGGAGTGTAACTTATTTATTTCCAACACTGGCGAAAGAAAAGCAGCCACTAGAACTCTTATCGCTAACTGGATAGAAACTGTATTTAGGGATGCTGGTATCAAAGTGTCCCCAGGTAGTGTACGCTCCGCTGTAGCTTCGTTGAATTGGTGGGATAATTTACCCATTGATGATATTCTTTCACGGGGTAATTGGCGAAGTGAAAATACTTTTGCAAAGTTTTATTTTAGACAAATTAAAAGCAAACCTGATTTGGTTAATACAAGTAATGCCTTGATTAAAAACTTCGAACCAATTCAATGAAAACGTTTGTCAGATCTAATAGGAAATGTCATACACGTATTTATTTAAATCAATCTTGGATCTGTAAGGATAATTTTGTTACATTATTATTGATTACACGCAAATAATTAGTTGAAATATGATAATGTGCCTTAAAACAATTAAATAAAACATTAAATAATGATATTTGTATTTATTTATTTATGTTATGTATAAAATATGCACCTAACATATATATACCAGACATGTTACAGGTATATTTTATATAAACCAGATTGGTAATCATCACATAGCGTCATCATCACACATAGTCACCATTTTACATAATAATAAAACTTGTATTATCGAGCAGAGACGATGCACAGCATCCAATTAAGGCCTCCTGGTGAGAGACTTCTATGAGAACACTGCGCACCAACAACTCCTTTTAAGGTGACTCAAATGGCGCCAAACGGAAGTAAGTCTTTTAAAGTATTAATTTAAAGGAAGTTACCATAGCAACGACAATGGCGGTAAGTAAAATTAACGGAAATCGCTAGACCGGAAGTCGACGCACTCTCACAGATGCTGTGCATCGTCTCTGCTCCATAATACAAGTTTTATTATTATGTAAAACTTGTACTATTAATAGCTATCCGTGCTTTTAATTTAGCAACGTGTATCCTAAGAATTTCCTTGAAAATGATTTCAAATAAGTTTTCGTCAAAAACTGTACTTATACGCCACTTTGTCAACGAGCGGCTATATTTTTGACAGTTGACATGTGAACGTCTGGTGTAGTTTGTGTACACAATTTTTTGAAGGTAAGATTTTTGTGCATTAAAAATTAAGTTTGATTGTTACACGAAAAACAAATAGTGCATCATGTTAGTAGAAGTGACAGCCATGTTTGGAGCTATAATGCAACTCAAATCATACTTTATTTACAGAGATATAAGTGGTTTTCTCAACGCGACGATAGCGTAGAAGTAGAAATACGCCACCATTTTGGTACTTCAACGCCAACGGTAGCGTAGATATTCGTCAACTCCTCTACGCCACCAAATAAAGGTAGGTATCCACTTGTTTTTATTATACTAACTTTTTACCTGACTGCCGAAGAAAGGAGGGTAATGTTTTTCGAGAGTGTATGTATGTATACTAATTTCGTATAATTTCAGCATGTATTTCGTAGGCTGCAAGGCATGGATTACGGTAACATAATGGTCAGTGCATCTGCCCGGATAGCGGAGGGTGCAGTTTCGAGTCCCGTCTGCTGCCTGGACCGCGTGGAATTTTTTTTAGTAAAAATTTTCTTTAGATTTAAAATCTAGCAAATAAATGCTTTAAAATAATAAAAATATAATAAATGTCTAGTTGATTATAAAATTGTTGATGTTTTTATTTACTTAGATATAGGGAACTACTTCTTATTCTAAATTCAACGAGCTGGTCCATTAGTGGGGGTCCATTATTAAATTGTGTTCATTATTAGATGTCCATATTTGGTGCATGTTCATCACTGGATGTCCATTAAATGATTTTCCTTGTCCATTACTAGCTTAAAAAACCGTGTTTATATTTTAATGATATCTCTCATTTTTATGCGGTTATTTCTAACTTTTTCGGCATAAGCATAAAGGAAAAAAGACTGACATTAAGCTCAACATTGATGTTTAAACGAAATCCTGATATATTAGGAATAATCCTGCAAAAACCCACCTTTTCATCCTTAAAGTGTCCATAATTGGTGCAATTACGTTATACAACATAATTTAATCTTAATATTTTGGCATGTGTATGCCAACCTTAACATTTATTCGTCACTATTATACGCTACTCAACGTCACCGACGCGTAGAAGTTTCTACGCCATCAACACAATACTTCTGCGCCATATCAGCAAAAAATGGCGGCCTGACCCAATATATTTCAAATTACTCTGCCTTTTAGAATAAGCAATCACATATTTTAATTTCGTTTTATATTTTTTATATGTATATATATTGCTTAGATTTCTTCGTTTTAATATTGCTTTATGTAGCTCTCGCTTTCTCCTACATGATATTTTTGTACCCTTAGTAAACCAATTTGGTTTTACTCTATGGGTCATTTTATACCGTGGTATAGGAAAACAAAGATCAAAAATCAGTTTAAATATTTCTAGAAATTTATCATAAGCCGAATTTACATCATTCTGTTCATATACTTCCGCAAAACTGACCTGTGAGATATATTTTTTGAAGATGTCTAGACCTAGGTTGATGTCAATTATTCTTTTATTCTCATACCAGTATCTACATTCATGTTTTCGAGTGTATGGAAACGATATCATTTGACCAGTGTGGTCTGATAATCCATTATTTAATACCTTTGTATTATGTTTATTGAAATTAGTTATTATTGTTATTAGGTGTGATACGAGTTGGTTCATTTATTGTGCATTTCATATTATATGTCATTAATAAAGATGTCAACAGTTTGCTGTGTTTATTAGCTTCTAAAATATTTATATTAAAATCTCCAACCAATATAAGTTTACGAGTCATTTTTCGCGATTTTCGCAAGATTTTAAGTCCTTCTAAGAATATCCCGAAATCACTGTTTGGGGGCCTATAAGTACATATTATTACTAGATTCGGTTCTGAAATCGTAATACCACAGCATTCGAATATTCTATCACAAGCAAAGTCATTTAACCAGTGTATTTTTTAAATTCTAGGGATTTTTTTATGAATATGCAAACACCACCTCTGCTTGTTTGTCCACGAGAATAGTTAGAAGCTAAATTATAATTACTAAATTGAATACTATTTAGGTCTGAATTCATAACAAATGCCTCTGAAAAACATAATATGTCTATTTCTATGTCAATTGTATGTAAATATATTTCTATGTCATTGTTTTTTAAACTCATTATATTTTGATGAAATATTCTGAAATAATCATTCGTCGCAAAGAAAAAAACTGTCATCGCTAGTTTCGGTTCCTAGTGTTTGTTTCGTTACATAGATTTTTTTGGTATCTTTTAATATTTTGTTTAATTTTAATGATTCCCTGTATTCACTATATTTCCTAGCATGTTCTCTATTTAATATAGTTCTTAAAAGGTTCCTACATAAATCGGTTACTCTAGAGTAATTATAATAATACGACTAAATGTAATTGCGCCATCATGGTGGCCACTCACTATCATGCCGCTAGACCAAGTGGCTTAATCAAATAAAGGCTTGATCAAGCCAAAATCGTCAAGTGGCATGTCCTTCCTTAATAACTCACCATACACGGTCGGTCAGTTTGGCTTGATCAATCCTATTTGATCAAGCCACTTGATCAAACGACAGGATCATGAGTGAGAGGCCACCATTAAACAACAAATTATTGTTTTAAGGTAAAGGCGGAGTTAGAGCCCCGCGACAAGAACGGCAAAACTCCACTTATGCTGGCCCAGAGCCACCGCCACGCGGAGGTGGTGAAGCTGCTGCAGAAGGAGATGAAGCGGAAGTCGCACTGGATGCCCCCGCTCTCTGAACTGTGGGCGTTACTGTTCGGAGGCGCGGGCGATTCCAAGGGACCACTACTGTTCTTCTTAATTTCCGTCCTGCTGTGGGGGTATCCCATGTATATAATAAGGGTGAGCTTATTAACTGTTCACCACGAATAAATAAAATAAATCATCATCAGCCTATTAATGTCACCACTGCTGGGGCACAGGCCTTCCTTATGGATGGAATAGGGAGATTGGGCCATGATCCACCACGCGGGCCCAGTGCGGATTGGTGGGTGCTAACGACTGCAGATGCAGCCGGGACCAACGGCTTAACGTGCCTTACGAAGCACGGAGGAGCTCTAGATAGTAATTTTTGGTTATCCATCCAATGACCGACCACTGCGAAAGTTGCTTAAGTTCAACGATCGCAGCCGAACGCTAACCACTTGTGCCATCGAGCTCCTCAATATAAATAAAATAAAACGAATATAAAATATAAATTACCTAAAATGCAAAATCCTACAAATATACTTGATCATTGCATTCGCCCGGATTGCGAAGGGTGCGGGTTCGAGTACCGTCTGCTGCCTATTTTTTTTAAATTTAAACATCAAGCTGTGACATTGAAAAAATAAAGAAAAAAAATTATATCCTACTAATGTTTTATGCTGGATTATACAGACATATTTACTTGGGGCCTATCGGCCTTAAGCATTTTCAATTTTGACGGATTGACTAACTAGTTATTACCTACGCAGTTTTAAAGCTGATTTATAAACCTTCTTTTCGTGTGTTTTTAAAATTATTGTTGAAAGATGTGTCCGGAAGTATTGTAGGTACCTACCTGAATTGAGACATGACATGGGACACTTTTAATTCTGATAAATGTTAGTCCTGCCTGTTACAAATATGTATGTGTATGTATAAATATGTAATTGTAAACACGTTGTATTTTTTCAGTGTATACCGTTGACTTGGAACACTTTGCGACTATCGCACTACTGCTTCCTGTACTGGAACGCCATAATGTGGCTGAGTTGGGTGACCGCCAATCGACGCGATCCAGGTAATGACTATGGTAAATTTTTAAAATAATAGAAAAAAATTTCACGCGCTGATCCATATCGAGTGTCTTTACAAAAGAACACTGCAGCTCAGGTATCATGCTGGAATCGCACTAACAGTTCCCTGAATCCTAAACAAATACGTCTTATTTCATTTAAGAAGTTAGTTTAAGTATATCTTAGGCTACAAAGCAACTAATTCTTATCTGAGTTGGCAATCTATGTTATTTCAATATAAGACGCTAAATGAAATAGGTACCTACTCTAGGAACATGCTTAAATAAAAATATTTAAAAATTACAGGTTACATCCCCCAAAACTCAGAAACCTATTATCGAGCAATAAGGCAAATACCTTACTACGACAAATGGAAGAAGAGAAATGTCATACTTTCGAGACTTTGCCATACGTGTCGGTGCTTGAGACCACTGAGGTAAAACAATCTAAAAAGCACAAAGATCTTTGATATGTATAAGTACAGTTTCATTGTTATTATAAGGTCCAGAAAACTTATTTGTTTGATATTTTTAAGGGAATCATCGGACAAGTGGGTCATGTCATGAATAAGGTTACTTTCCGGTTGGATTAGTCCGATTAGTCCTGACATGTCAGTATATTTAATCTAGTCCGGACTTTCTCCGGCTCTATAATTTGTCCGCATTTATTTAGTAATGCGAGCATCCTTGCCTGGATGCCGACTCACACTGTAACTAAATAAGTAGGTGATGTTTCCATTTTGTAACTAAAAATCCCGGACTTTTATCAAAATATCAGGTTTTTTGCCAGAACTTTTCAAATTCCTAAATGGTAACCCTAGTCATGAATCAATTTGTTCCATAGTACCTACATAATATGCTTTTCTTTAAAAAATATAGGTACAAATTTTCTTACAGAGCCAAGCATTGTCGCATCTGCAAACGTTGCGTAGCGTACTTTGACCATCATTGTCCGTTTATTTACAACTGCGTCGGGGTTCGCAACCGCATGTGGTTCTTCCTGTTCGTGATGAGTGTAGCGATTAACTGCACACTGTCCATATATTTCGCATGCTATTGCCTTCTGCTTGAAGGCTTCGGATTGCTCTACGCTTTGGGATTACTGGAGGCCATCACATTCTGTGCCCTGGGCTGGATACTTACGTGCACATCCGTAAGTATTAATTGTTTCCTCGAATGAGATCGTAAATGGTACCTATTCTATTTACAGTCTATTTCAAATGTTTTACGAGCGAATGTTAAACTATAGATTTTAATCGATTCTAAAGAATCTGATCATTAAATTATTGATCAATTTATTTACACAGGACTTTACGAATTTCCTTCACTTTGCTGTCTACGGTTCCTACCTCAGTTTACTTTTGCTCTCAAGCCACTTCGACAATTCACTAGCAGCATCTTCTAAAATGACGGATATTCCACTACGTGGGATTGTTCTCGAGCGATTGTCCCTATTTAAAAGACTATTGGATTGGCCTAGTTCTTTCACATAAAAAAACTTTATTCTCCACAGATTGTAAAAAATCTCAAATAATTAACGATCTATAATTATACTGTTTATTTTTATTGAATAGTTACTTAGGTAGGTGTAGCTATTTATTAATTAACATTTTCTTTCAGATACTGCACGCGTGCATGAACTTGACGACCAACGAAATGTTTAATTACAAGAGGTATCCTTACCTCAGGGACAAAAGAGGCCGGTATCAGAATCCGTTCTCCAGAGGCCCCATCATGAATTTGATCGAGTTCTTCGTTTGCCTCCCCGACAAATGCGACGAACAAGACTTTTTACATGAGGAGACTATATGATCTGAAATGCGATGACGTACTGCCACTATATTAGCTTCATAAGGAACTCTTAGATTATATGGTGCTGTCATTAATGGGTTCCTATGCAATGAAATGGCACAATGTAAATACTAAAATACAAAAAGAATCGCTTGCTCTTTGATCTCGAACCACATATTTTCATCATATTTATCTTTACTGCTCTACATAAAGATAAGCCTATCAGGCAGTAGAAATTGAATTTAATGTAGGTACTATAACTTACCTACATTGATATCTATAAATAAAAGCTTGCACTGCAAGTATTAAACAGTACAAAATTATTAAGATTTGTTATATTCCAAGTTAAGATTAATCTAAGAAAAATATATATTCTTTTGCGTGAATCGCTTACATAAGAGTTAGTCAGAAATATTGTTTAGTATATTTGCAGTTTTTAGGAATATGTAGGTAGATAACTTTGGATGCACCATGCGCAGAAAAAAATAACTATTGTGTTATGTCCGAGAAATTATAATTGTTTGTGTATATTTAAATACAAGAGAATACCTATCCCATTTGATAAATTAACATATACATGATAATTTCATAAGCAAATAGGTGCCGGATGCAACATGTCACTAGATTAATTTAAAAAATTATGAACTCTTCAAAAAATTCATCAAATAAGATTTACCTACTTGTATTTTCTGGTTTACACCTTTTATTAGGAGAAATATAAACACAATAATTTGAATTAATAAAGATCTTCTTGGAGCTTATTGCAGTTTTTATATTATCTAGTTGTATTCGCTCATCATTATTATATTACTCGTCCCAAAGCCAAGCTGGAGCAGCTGTTGCTTATGTATCTAATGAATACAGATCTTTCAGTTCTGTACTCTTAACCGATTTTTTGAGATTGATGCTTATCCCTTACGTGCGTGACGAAGCTTCAGGTGGCATTGGTACTAAAATGCGCTAAAATTAGCGTTCGAACTTTGGGTTAAATAGGTACGCCTCCCTAAGTTATACACATTACATATTTTTTTTTGTTTTCCACAACTTTTTTTATCGTGTCAAATTATCACAAGTCAAGCTATCGTCTAGCCTATAGACACGCAGCCCACTAATTCAGAACTAGGTATTTCAAATTTCGAACGTTAATTTTTAGCGCATATAATAACATAGCCTCAGAATACAGACCATAGCCACGGTAATATGATATTATTACCGTGCCATAGCCTACCGAAGCTCCGTCGCGCAGGTGTGTTAGAAGCTTCAACGCTAATATTTTCTCCCGCAAGGATTGTAGAGCCGCACTACAGTAGTTACATGATAATAAGTAACAGTATGCCATACGGTGGTGTTGGTGTAAAGCGCGTCATTATCTACTATATAAAAATAAGTCGGGTTTTCCTTCCTGACGCTATAACTCCAGAATGCACGAACCGATTTCCACGGTTTTGCATTCGTTGGAAAGGTCTCGGGCTCCGTGAGGTTTATAGCAAAACATTTAGGAAAAATTAAAAAAAAAATCTTTTAATCACCAAACGAAATATTACATAAAACGAAGCCATCTGGTGGCGAAACGGAGTTCGCCGGGTTTGCTAGTGTTCCATAAAATTTAAATATAGGTGAAGGGAACATGGTTATTAGCACGTCTATGGAACGAAGCGAATGGTTCATACATACGTCATGCTCGCGCACGGGTTGTGCCGGTGAAGATGAGTTTGCTTGGCTATCGCAATTGCTTATTACTTATCTGTTTTTATTTTTGTTGATGTAACAGTAAGACACGGCATTCATTAAAATACACTGTAACGACGTAGCATTTTGAACAGAATTAACCAGCACCTAATATCGTTGCGTTTTGAATATGAAGGAAGTTGTTTTTTTTAATACTCTAAAGAGATGTTTCATGCTTTTAATTACCTTTTTTATATTTATTTATTTTAACAAATCGTTTTCGTTTTTTTCTAATAGGCAATAGTTTTCATGGACTTCCAAGTCCATGGTGATTTGAATACAATATCTTTAATCAGTAGTCGAACGTATACTTGGGGAAGTAACCTCCACCTTGAGGCCTGTGAAAGAATATACCTTTTGGTGGTGTTGTTTATGTTGGCGTGGAAGATACCAGTAACCCAAGCACGAACTTGACAGCCTCGTCATCGTATCGCCAACGTCAGTTTCTATATCGTAATTAAGTCAGCGCCCCTACCATACGTAAGAACAAACTTGCTTTTTTCATAGAAACTTTGTTAGGGCGACCTCTGTGAAGTTAGCCCCCCACTTTTTGAATTTTATTATTATCTAAGTTGTTCTGGGTTGTTCTATGTTTGTTCTACATTGTTCCAAAGTATTATTTGAAAAAACTAAAATTTGAAGCTGCCAGACAAGAAAAACCGTTTTTCTATGGTAGCCCCCCATGTTTGGAAATTCAATATTTTTTTAGTTGTTCCAAGTTGTTCTAGTTGTTCCGAACATTGTTCCAAAGTATTATTTGAAAATATTCAAATTTGAAGCTGCCATACAAAAAAAACGTTTTTATGGTAGCCCCCCATGTTTGGAAATTCAATATTTTTTTAGTTGTTCCAAGTTGTTCTAGTTGTTCCGAACATTGTTCCAAAGTATTATTTGAAAATATTCAAATTTGAAGCTGCCAGACAAAAAAAAACGTTTTTATGGTAGCCCCCCATGTTTGGAAATTCAATATTTTTTTAGTTGTTCCAAGTTGTTCTAGTTGTTCCGAACATTGTTCCAAAGTATTATTTGAAAATATTCAAAATTGAAGCTGCCAGACAAAAAAAACGTTTTTATGGTAGCCCCCCATGTTTTGAAATTAAATACATTTTTAGTTGTTCCAAGTTGTTCTAGTTGTTCCAAACATTGTTCCAAAGTATTATTAGAAAAAACTCAAATTTGAAGCTGTCAGGCAAAAAAAAACCGTTTTTGAGATAGCCCGCCAAATCAAATCGTACTAGAGACAATAAATAAATCAACAATAATTTTAAACAATGACGATCGTATCAGTACAACCGTGGGCTATATCGTTCCAATTTCATTTAATCATTTTGAATAAAATTAATAGTTATAAGACAAGAAAACATTACACTATAGGGTAAACTCCCTAATTGTTGGCACTTTAAGAGTAGGTTCCATGTCAGTCAGACATAACCATAATCACATCTAAATGAGTTAGTACACAACACATGTAACAGTATCAAGGAAATATAGTTCAATCTTTGTTTTCATAATAGTACAGTCAATGAAGGCAAAAATCAGCTATAACCTCCGATTTCGATGAACCTCCATCGATTTTCATGAAAAATGCTGATGAGGTGGGGGATACCATATGAAACAAAAGTGACATAGTGCCAACTTGCGCTTTTTCCCTAGGGGTAGATACCACCTCTTCTCGGGGGTAAAAATTATTTTAATAAAAATAACTCCAGGAATCGATAGAAAGACAAATTCTAAGCAAAAGTTGTTATATTAAGTTTTCGAAATAAATCAATACTTTCTGAGTTAATAATGATCAAAGATTGTGATTTTGCGTCAAAAAATTCATGATTTAAGCGGTTTTTCATAAATATCTCATAAACTATGAGTTTAAAGAAAAATATATTATTACTAGACGCAACGAATATTCGGTATTCGGCCTATTCGGCTGCTTTTATTATATTTGGCCGAATACCGAATACCTACATATTATTCGGCCGAATACCGAATACTTAAATAATATATTTTGTCATAGAGAAATAATTGGTAAAATGAAAATTAATATCGATTGATTACGTAGGTATATATTCATATTTTCATTTCTGTTATATATAATCATTAAAGTAGTCATTGGTACATAATCATCTTCTGAATTGGAAAAATGGAGGATTCTATGTATTTGAATTATTGTGGTAATCAAAATTTAAAAGGGTAAGGTTCTCATTTATTTTATAATAATTTATTAAGTAGTCATGTGTACATAAAACAGGTTCATAATTTCATCATTTTCTGTATTAAACAAGTTAAGAATTTTTCTATGCATTTGAATTATTTTCATAATCAAAATTTAGAATGGGAAGGTTATGGTGAAAAAAGTATAAATTTTCTGCATTTTTAGGAAGTAGTAGAAATTCTTTTTTTCTCGAACACCATCCCAGCTTCAGAGTAAAGGCGCTCTGAATAAACACTACTTCCTGGCGCCGACAAATATTTTGCCGCAATCTTAATCAAACACGGAAATTCAATTTTCCTTGCTGCCACCATGTATATGGGTTGTCATGACGTGATATATTACTAATATTTAAGAAAAGATCCATTTCTGTTGAAACTGCGTTTGACTGAATTGCACTGCAAACAAAAGGGCGCGAAACAATCACGTTTGTACAAGTTTTTGGCGCTAAAATCCAGCCGGATACTTTTGCCTAATATTCAGCTATTCGGTCAGGGGCCTCGCCGAATATTCGGTATACTGCCGAATATACTATTCGTTGCAAGTCTAATTATTACCAAAATTGAAGCTAATAAAAAAAAACAAACCCCTTCTTTGAAAAACCTTCTTATATGAATTCAATGTGAGCTATTGGTAATTGTATGTATATTTTTTTTCGACGAGTACTTAAATCTAAGTTTCCAACCCTAAATAACGGGAAACCGATGCATTTTGATGAATGGTTGGAATGAAGGGTTTATTTTTCGTTTTTCCTAAAAAAAATAAGTGTTATCTTATTTTTATCATAACTTTTTAAATTTTGAAGTTATTAACTTTTTACAGTACTCATTATAAAGATATTTCTGAGAAATTTAAAAAGTGCTCCGGAAATGTATGTCATAAATTCATCGGTTTCCCGTTATTTAGGTTTGAATACTTAGAATTAAGTACTTGCCGAAAAAAATATATGTACATACAATTACCTATAGCTCACTTTGAATTGAAATTAGAAGATTTTTCAAAGTAGGCGTTTCTTTGTTTTTTTATTAGCTTCAATTTTGGTACTAACATTTTTTTGTAAAGCTCATAGTTTTTGAGTTATTTATGAAAAACCGCTTAAACATGTATTTTTATAACGCAAAATCACAATATTTTATCTTTAATAACTCAGAAAGTATTGATTTATTCCGAAAACTTAATATAACAACTTTTGCTTAGAATTTGTCTTTCTATCGATTCCTGGAGTTATTTTTATTAAAATAATTTTCACCCCCGAGCAGGGTGGTATCTACCCTCAGGGCAAAAGCGCAAGTTGGCACTATGTCACTTTTGTTTTTTATGGTATCCCCCATCTACTTACCAATTTTATTGTAATTAATGTCAGCTACCTACTCTTAAAGTGCCAATAATTAGGGAGTTTACCCTATATTCTAATGTTTTCTTTTCTATTAATTTAATTCAAAATGGTTAAATGAAATTGGAACGATATAGCCCACGGTTGTACTGTTGTTGTATAATCGTCATTGTTTAAATTGATTTTTGATATATTTATTGTCTCTGGTAGGTACGATTGATTTTATTTTATAAATAAAAGTTTTTTTTTGTCTTACAGCTTCAAATTTTATTTTTTTCAAATAATACTTTGGATAGTTGTTAGGAACAACTAGAACAACTTGGAACAACTAAAAAAAATAATGAATTTCCAAACATGGAGGGCTATCTCAAAAACGGTTTTTTTGCCTGACAGCTTCAAATTTGAGTTTTTTCAAATAATACTTTGGAACAATGTTAGGAACAACTAGAACAACTTTCAAAATAACGAATTTCCAAACATGGGGGGCTATCTGAAAAACGGTTTTTTTTGTCTGACAGCATCAAAATTGAGCTTTTTCAAATAATACTTTGGTACAATGTTAGGTACAACTAGAACAACTTGGAACAACTAAAAAAATAATGAATTTCCAAACATGGGGGGCTATCTCAAAAACGGTTTTTTTTGCCTGACAGCTTCAAATTTGAGTTTTTTCAAATAATACTTTGGAACAATGTTTGGAACAACTAGAACAACTTGGAATAACTTTCAAAATAACGAATTTCCAAACATGGGGGGCTATCTGAAAAACGGTTTTTTTTGTCTGACAGCTTCAAATTTGAGTTTTTTCAAGTAATACTTTGGAACAATGTTAGGAACAACTAGAACAACTTGGAACAACTAAAAAAATAATGAATTTCCAAACATGGGCGGCTATCTCAAAAACGGTTTTTTTTTGCCTGACAGCTTCAAATTTGAGTTTTTTCTAATAATACTTTGGAACAATGTTTGGAACAACTAGAACAACTTGGAACAACTAAAAATGTATTTAATTTCAAAACATGGGGGGCTACCATGAAAACGTTTTTTTTTGTCTGGCAGCTTCAAATTTGGATATTTTCAAATAATACTTTGGAACAATGTTAGGAACAACTAGAACAACTTGGAACAACTAAAAAAATATTGAATTTCCAAACATGGGGGGCTACCATAAAAACGTTTTTTTTTGTCTGGCAGCTTCAATTTTGAATATTTTCAAATAATACTTTGGAACAATGTTCGGAACAACTAGAACAACTTGGAACAACTAAAAAAATATTGAATTTCCAAACATGGGGGGCTACCATAAAAACGTTTTTTTTTGTCTGGCAGCTTCAAATTTGAATATTTTCAAATAATACTTTGGAACAATGTTCGGAACAACTAGAACAACTTGAAACAACTAAAAAAATATTGAATTTCCAAACATGGGGGGCTACCATAGAAAAACGGTTTTTCTTGTCTGGCAGCTTCAAATTTTAGTTTTTTCAAATAATACTTTGGAACAATGTAGAACAAACATAGAACAACCCAGAACAACTTAGATAATAATAAAATTCAAAAAGTGGGGGGCTAACTTCACAGAGGTGTTAGGGCGTTACGAATACTTTCTCACTAGTTGTTCGTGCTTGGGGTACAGGGCTCTCAACCAGGTAGAGTTCAAGCCGGCAAAATGAGAAGAACGACAGAGGTGTGCCAACAGCTGATTTTATATTTGCTTTGCATACTAGGTACTCCATTTAGCATCGAGTAAGCGGTGCTGGTGCGGTAATTCACTACGCGCCCTGTTAAAAAATTAGAACTACCTATACACTTCGATGTGCTTCGACTCTGCACTGCTGCACTACTATGAATTGGCCCTAAGTAGAATGTATAATTTACTAAATTATTATGAGAGTGATTTCACACTACTTTAACATAAAAATAAATGTACCCTACTAATATTATAACTGTGAAAGTTTGCATGTTTGTTACTCAATCACGCAAAAACTACTGAACGGATTTGGATGAAATTTGGTACGCATATAGTTTATGACCAGGGGACCAATCGCCTAACGGGATTATAGCAATCCCGTCGCCAAGCCTATTGATATCACTTACAATTTCGTTTTGTTATTTCTGACCGCCGAAGGTTATTAAATAGCGCTCATTTTGTTTAATATTGTTATTAGTAATGGATCTTTTTTCTTCTTCTGCATTGAAAATAATTTATGCAAAAGAAAAAAAAGAACGTGAGGCATTTGAAAACTTTATAGTCTAAGAGTCGGTGATCCGCAGACTTACGGTATAGTAGCAAACTTCATATTAATGCTAGTTATACTAATTCATCTGCCGTAGATCAAATGGTGGTTCACTATTCCCATAGAGTTCAGGCGTGCCGAGAAGTCGAAAAGCATAGATATCGACTTTCAAAACGTGATCGCAGCATGTCTGCCGCTTTGATATCTTAAAATATTTAGTTTTTTATAGAAAATCTTAATGGCAGACGAGTCGATTTTCATGCTTTTCGACTTCTAGTCACGCCTAAAGAAACCCTCTATGGGAATAGTGAACCCCCATTTGGTCTACGGCAGATGAATTAGTATAACTAGCATTAATATGGAGTTTGCTACTTTACCGTAAGTCTGCGGAACACTGGCTCTCAGTCTATTTATAAACTTTATCCCGGAAAAAAGGTAAGGTTTCTGTGGGATTCTCAAAAAAAAAAGTTAACGCGGCTAGTGAGTAAACAAACATTTTGCGAATAAATTAAAAAAAAAACATTTTCACGTAGCTTTATAAAATATAATAAATAAGTATTGAACAACAATATTACGTCCAGCATGAAATGTTGCACAAAACAAGTTAGGGGGCTACAAACATATTTAACATAATACAACACTACCTACAGAGAAGCTATAAACTAAAAATGTATGGTTAGATTTTTTAATGCTTAACGCATTCCATTAAAGTCAGGTATTTATACCTAAATATCACAAGTGTCACAATATCTCAACATACATAACATCACACATCAGTCATTTCCTAAATTTTACATCAGTTATTAACATCGACAATCATATTGCCATAGAAGATAAGTGAAGTGAAAAGACATGCTAACTTGGTTATATTACTAAAACTCACATATTCTTAAAAAGTTACTTAATAAGAGTTAAAACCCAAACAACTTTCTGTAGTTCCGATAATTATTAAAATGTACACATCTCAACTGAAGGTTTCATCAAAATGCAATAAGACTAGCTTATATGTTTTTTTTTTGCTTCAAGCATCATGTTACGGCATAAGTTATATTATGTGGTTTATATAATAATACTGATGTGTTGACTTTACTTATCTATCACACAATTCATTGTGAGACTCTAAGATTATTTAAACTTTTCAAGTTTTAATAACATTGAAACTAAGGCAGAATTTCAGGTTGCATATTTGTATGTAACGTGAGATTCGCCAATTTACATTTCTTTTTCATATTTATCTATTTGACTAAAATTCACGTAATTTCCTACAAATTTAGGTGAAAGTACCTATATTACTTAGTAAATATTACCACCAAAATAAAGATTGCTACATGAATGACACATACCATGGAACAATGTGATGAGTGGAAGACTTAAACTAAGTCTCAAATTAAATTAAAACATTAGTAACTGGATCAATCATGATAGTGTTCGCTTTTATAAAACATGGATTATCACACATTTTCTTAAATTTAATTTAACAAAAACAATTTTAAATATTCCTACTCGTCTAGTAACTCAATAAAACTGCCAAAGGAGGCTTAAATGCCATCATCACTATGATGGGATAGTTTGCTTGTTATCAAACACTGGCATATTCGTTCAACTCATAATAAGAAACAGTGAATTACAACTGTACAACAAAAACAAAATACTTTTTCTTCAATATTAATTGGTACCATTTCTTAAATCAGTCTAAATAAAAAATCATTCTGTAATCTTTTACTGGATGTTTTATAATTCTTTACGTTCATTCTTTTCTTCAGAAACAAAAAAAACAAAATGCTCTATGCAGATTTCTCTCAACATTTTACAGACCAACCACTTTAATAACACTATTCTACTTCATTAGGGGGATCTCCAATATTGAATTACTGGGCATGTTTCAAAAGTCAATAACTAGAGACGTGTTAAAATTGATTTATAGGAAGGAATACATAGTGTAATCCTGTAATACAACCAATAAGATTAAAAAATTTAGTACTTATCTAATAAGTAATATAGAATTATCTAAACTGTACAAACTACTAGCATTCGTACAGATTAATAAAATATACATCAGAATTACTCCATGCCAACCTTATTTTATTAAAAATAAATTTATATTGCATACGTTGGCTTACGATAAAATAGATTTATCAAGTAGTGTGTGAATTCTAATAGTATTAAAATTTGTAATGTGCTCTTGAAATACATAATCAAATTTAATCATCTTTTGGGTTAATCCTGATAGCTGCAGCCACTTCCTCTTTGCAGTGGTCCTTATCGCCCCATCCCCAAAGGTGATGGGAGCCGTCACCAGTACGTTTTACTCTACTCTGTACTATCTCATCAGACACAGTTTTCATATCATAAGCCCAACCAATCTTTGCAAAAAAGTTGATGAAGTTTGTTGTGAAATTGAGCCTATTATTGCCTAGTTCGGCGGTTTTGTAATCCCATGGAAAGGTGTGGTGATAGTTGTGAAAACCTTCGCCGAGAGCAAATATCGAAACGGAAATGTTTTCCGAGGGCTTTATGTTCTTGTCGTAAGGTTTGTCACCCCATTTATGGGCAGCGGAGTTGACGAGCCAAGTGACGTTTAGAATGAATGCGTAACGGAACAGAGCAGCTACAAAGAATGCGGTCACCCAATTCTCACCCCAGTAATATAGTGGTATCACTGTTGGTAGGATGAAGCAAGCGATGGGCATCAGAATAAGGTAGTACCTGGAACAAATAAGAACAGTTACAAACCATCAAATATTAATATGAAACATTAAAAATTTACACAATGGTACCACTTTGTAAGAATGTACTGGAATATTGAACTTTGTCATGGGACAACAGTTTAATGTACAAGCGAGAGCATAAATCATTATAGAAAGAATAGGTTATAGCCCTGAAAACTCCTAAGCCGCTATTCAGGTGTGATGTATAGATCAATAAAAAATTTACACCCTGAATTAATTGAGTTTTTTCAATGATGATGATGTTATGACACATATTATGTCCATGACTTGTGACTGCCAAAATTATGGAAAACTAAAATGTTGTGTAACAAATCAATTCTTTGTTTTAATGCAACATGATTTATAACTGTGTTATTTTCTTATATAACAATTTTCATGTTGCAAAAACAATTTAATGAAAATCAATAACTGAAAAATAATAATATGGCTCAAAATTAAATTCGTATTTAGATCATTTTCAAAGATGATTACTTTAATATATAGGATAGTTAAATCTCACAACTGGACCCAGCACTAGGTACAGCTGGATTCTAGTTTTTTATATATTTTTATTAGTCAGAATAATTGCTGTATCCAATATATACATAAAAATGTCAACTTACTTCTTCTGAAAACGAAGAATTGGGTCTGCATATAGATCACTAAGATCAAGTCCTTTGCCTTTTTGCTTGAGTTCAGGGTGCTTTCTGACGAGTAGCCAGCCAATATGGGAGAAGAAAAAGCCACGAGTTGCATTGTGAGGATCAGCATCTGTCTCCGAATATTTGTGATGCATACGGTGGTCACGTGCCCAGTCTATTGCAGAGTCCTAAACAAGAATTTCAGATATTAATGAAAACCAGATGAAAGTTTTGAAAATACATTTTTCTATAAGAATAACCATTATTTCAATGTGTACATTTATTTAGTTTTTGTTGTTTAAATTCAATTGCAAATTCTTTGACACAAATGTTTTTTTACCTAGTATGTTATTTTTTTAATTATCATATTTTTAAACAATCAAAATAGTGGAGACCTGATCTTATATAAAATATATATTGTTCAGCATTATGAAAAATATATGATGTTTGTTATTAATTAGAAATTATGCAAAATTTTTAATACTGCTATAAATACTGACTGTCAATAAAAACTTATAATTACATTAATATTTAGATAAAACAAATGTCAACGGTATAGATGCACTGATTTATGAATTTATGACATTTCGCATCAGGCTATCTATACTGTTGAAAATTGTAATTAATGAGTGGTGTGCTTGAAAACCTATGAAACAAATTAATATTTAGATTTTATGATTAAGTATATTTTGTAATCATAAATTTTATTTAAGATATCATGCTCACCTGAAAAGCCAATGTGTTAAAAAATACTAGAATAAGTCTAAGTGGCCATTTAGCCTTGTAAGATTTATGGGCCCAAAGTCTGTGTGCTCCAGCAGTAATTCCAAGTCCTGACATCACATAAAGAATGTATGCTGCAAGGGAAATAACAAGTTAATTAAAACTATGGCATACTATGTGAAACATTATAAACATTTTTTAAAATTTTCATGCTTTCATTGTAGTGAACAATTATATAGGTTGATTACTAGTAAGGTTTTAATGGTTTATCAGTTTTTCTTTGAAGTTTAAGGCTTTATAATAACTTTATAGTAATGAATTAATGCAGTTATTGAAATAAGTTCATGTAAAATTTTAAAGCTGTATGTAAAAAAAAACCACATTAAAAATATTCACTTTATATCACAGAAGTAGATAAGATGTGCTTTGATAAAAATGATGTTTACTTACCAAATATATCTGTTTGCCATTTTGCAGCAAATAAGAAAAGATAGCCTCCATACACTGCAGCAATATGCAAGTATGCGAAGGCTATAATGTTCCTCCACACTAACTTCTTGGGATAGTTATCGGCTTTTTGTACAGGTGTGTTAGATAACGCCATGTCTGGAGTAGCTGCATCATCTTCGAATAAAACGCCATTGACATCTGAAGCGTTAGGCGCCATAATGTTGCGCTTTTGTGATCTGTTAGACAATACAATTCAGTTATTATAATGAAACAATCAATATCTAACTGAAATACTTCAATCATGTAACAGAAACAATTAGTGTAAGTACTTGTTACTGCAGTTTTGTAATTCACTTTCAAAATCCATATTTTGTTGAATTTTTTTAAAGGTACTGAAAAAATTAGTTTCAGCGTTTTGCTACCAACCAAGCTTTCTTTAATTTTAGTAAAACCGCACCAAACAAGAAATTTTATTTGACTGTTTGTCATTTTTTTTTTTAAGTTCTATTCTTCTCTATTGAGAAAGGCAAAGGCATAGCCATGCAGCCATCGTCTTATTTTTGTATTAATCTTCCTTTTTTTTACATTAGAATGTCGGTGTGACGCATTCTAATGTTTCTTGGAGTGTTTGGCACGAAATGTATCGAGTTGGCTTTTTCGATAAGCTTCTGTGAGGTAGTCAACACTACAATAAAATTCTCACGTCCACTTGACCGGAATAGCGTATATTTTAATGATTCCGCTAATTCTTCAGTTACGCAGATAGTTGTTACACAAAACCACACCAATTTTATTTCACAATATCCACTATGAACGAATTTAAGAATAATTAAAATAAGACGCCAACCGCACTCGATGAAATCCCGCCAAAAAAGCCTTTAATTTTGTTCTTCCTTTTGGTTACCCAAAGGTTAAGCCATACAGCCTTGTTATTTGATTTACAATTTAAACGTTAACGTGACATGGCTTTAAAGCAAAGAATTTTATTTTTTCGAGACCTGTGAATTACACCTTTTGCTCTACTCTGTGTCTAGACTGAGCGGTAACTGCATGGAATTGACATCTCCAAAAAAAAGAGAAATCGACAATGCTCTTAATACCTATTGTCCTATTGGCCGCACGATCGCTTCGTCTCTCTCACATTTATTTGCCTGGTTAACTTTATACTTGAAGAGGGAACGCTCAGACAGTACTGGTTTCGTCTTCAAGGAACCTGATTCCTTCTTTAAACCTACTTTACCTAATTTCTTTTCCTATACATAAAATAGGGGAGGAGGCAGATTTGAACGTCCTGTTCAAATCTACCCCGTTTGTTTTGATTAAATGTGCCCCATGGTCACGTGGAAGATAAAATATTATAAAAAAAAAATGTGAAATAACTGGCAAGCAAAAACTACAAGGTGGATTGAAAACTAATAAGTACTGCACAAGTTTGTGAAAGAATTAGTTGGTTACCATTACGCACGTGATAGTAAATCCCTTACAACATTTATTTTTATTTTTCAGATTAAAAATCTTTTTTTAATAAGAAACGCGCGCGCTTTGTTTTTTGACGTTTGTCACAGCCAGTGCTGCCAATATTAAGGTTGCGGCATAGATTTACATAAAGTTACGTCCAGAAATCAACATTTTCAAAACTGGTCCTGTGCTAAGGTGCCTCCTTCTCCTCTACTTAATGATTATATTAAATGGTATAATAAATTATAATTTATTTATGTGTAAGAGGATATATCACGATATTTGAAGCGTTAAAAAGTTGTATTTTGTGTTAAGGCAAATTGGCCGTCCTTCATCATTATTAAAAATTTAGAAAATAATAATTATATAAATTCTCTTCTATAAAGTACTCGTTACGTAAGTGCCTAAAATATCTGGAATTTTCGGGATTACCAGTTTCGGATTTTGTACAAGGATCCTTAATAATAACTTTTTTTTGGTTTCTATTACATTTGTGATAGGACAAATTTTACATAAGCAGTTTAAGGGCCTTATTGATTGTTTTTTTTTAAAACTTTAATATAAAAAAAAAACAATTTCACCTCTTACTTAAATGTTAAAGTTATTAAGCAAATTACTTACCGGTGTATACGTTTATTTATGTTAAGTGTAATCCCTTAGTCAAATAATACTAATAATCAATCACACATTCACAACTGTATTCATCGAATCACACAAATGTTATGCCGGCTAAGTTCCGATCGCGTGCTTTAATAAGAAATCACTCTTTGATTAAAATCATTAACAGAGCGGACGTGCGTGCTGGTGATAGCAGTAATCTCACGTGTTGAACTGTGGACGTTACAGAGTGAACATCATGAGCGAGCGACGTGTGTGCTTAGTCAAGTTTAGAATGGCTGGTGCAACAGGATTTGGATTGGACGGCACGGGTGGCGCGATACTGACACCACGTCACCGGGCCGCGGGCCCCGGCCCCGCCGACGAACATTCGCAGACACGCGACACGTTGCTCGCGAAAGAAAAAAATGTCAAAACACTGTTATTGTAGCCACTAAACCAGAGTGCCTATATTCGTAACACGTGACTGCCTGTATATTGATCTATTTTTGCTCTCATTTCTATAACCTCTGCCAGTCCGTGGTTTCAAAACCCGCTGCGAATATGTGCCAATAGCCTTACATCAAAAAAAAATGTAGTAAAGGATAACCTCGGAAAATATCAATGAATTTTGTTCTTTAAATATTTAAAATTTATGATTCTCAATAGTAAACAATAAAAAGTAAAAAATTCATAATTACTAGTAGGTACATAATTATAAAGTTATATACATGCTTTACCTAAATTGGTGGTCGAATGAAACATTTTTTATTATTCTATATATGTAATAGCTCCCAAAAGAATAGGATAACATTTTAAGATAAGATCGAAAATAGTAAATTAAGGAATATAATATTTAAATACATCCCAGCCTGATGTAGGTAATGGGGTGGGTGAAGATTAACGCCGATCTTTTGTCAGCAGGCGGAATGATGGTAGGATGTCTCTCTTGTTAGCTTATTTTAACGCAACAAGGAATGAAGAAAATAAAATAAGTATGAACTACCAATGAACAAAATAGTGCACCTATTTTTAGGATGGCGAATAATGGGGCCTTAAAAAGGACTAATGAATTTTTGCTCAACTTATCAAAATTTACTATTGCGACCTCAAAATGCCGATAACCTTTACTATCGACGCCATAGATCGACTCTTACTCCGAATCAAGCCGTATTTTTGCCAAAGAATTACTAATTTGTTGCCTGTCCATAGTATTTGTAGTTTGTATTCACACCAGGCCACGCGGTACATAGGAACTGGTACAGCAGTGTCATGGTCATGGTCATGGCCGACCAATGTCTTTTGAATAGGTTCATTAAAATTGTAGTCGCAGTGAGTTCTAAGTATATCTAGGTACCTACCTGCGACTACAATTATTAATGATTGAAAAATAAATTTAAAAGTTTAACAGATATTATATAACTTATAACAAAAACTCCGACAGGACCGAGTCGGACTCAGTGTTCTGAATCACCGAGGATTCCGCACAAATTTGTAAGTAGCATAAACGGCTGTATCTGATTTTCCCGTTAACATAGAAGTTTGATTTTTTTCACAGTTTCAAGGGACTTTAGACATGAGTAATGCGGTTTTAATTTCAACTCAATACCTCAACGCTTTGGTGGGATAAAGAGCCTTGACAAACAGGCAGATAGATGGACAACAAAAAGTGCTCCTATAAGGGTTCCGCTTTATTGCTTTTGAGGTTCGGAACCCTAAAGAGGAACTGAAGTCTGTAGAGTTATATATTTATTAATAGGTACTCGTTTATCAAAAAATATATTTGCCATTGTCACTTATTATCTCTTAACTATTAGACAAGTCCGTCCGTCCGTCTGTATGTGGTGCTGTTTCAGCGGCCAAACCGTAAGAGATAGATAAAGAGAATATTTAAGTTATAAGTTAAGAATAGTCTGATAAGACTACAAACCGGATTTGAGTAACGTAGCACTTCCGGTTTTCGAGAAATTAGGTTTTGGTGAACATTTGGTTCACTAGTTTGCTAGTACATAACTATTATAATAAAATTGTTGGCTTATTGTCTGCAATTGAATTATTTAATTCCTGTTAAATACCTAGTTATAGAGCAGGAAGGGGTGGAATTTAAATCCGGTGGTTAACCGTAAGTTATACAGTAAGCGTTAAAGGTGACTTTCAATGTTTATATAATGCCTTATATTGTTTTTCACTACGCGTTCATCTTACGGAGCTCCGTGGATCGTCAAATGGTACTTTTTGGACTGGTTTCAGCGGCCACGATTTTGTTCGTGTTGTTGTATAATCTAGGGTGTTTAATATAGTTGACATCGAACGCGTAAAATTAGATATTTGGAAGATTTTATTATACAGAATTGCATTGCTGTAAGAAAAAGCTAGAAGCTGCTTTCTGGTATTTTTAAGCTCTTAAACTAGAATGAGAGATTATAATAATAATATTAAAAAGGTTATTATAAAAATTTACATGTAACTATTTCGTCCGAGTTATGAAATGATGCAACAAAATGTAATGTATAAGCAAACGGTCTGTTCACCGTAGAGCGTAGCAAATACCTACTCGTTTCTTATGAGTAATCTAATGGAAATATTAAAAATTAATAACAAATAAACCAACTTGCTAGCATTAGCTAAGAGCTTTTTTTAATCAGTTGAAAAATAAAGAGAGGTACTTATATGCTCATGAAGATTTTATATCTATTATACTAGGTAAACCTGATAGGAAAGTGCCTTATTCTTTATTTAAAAAGAAGCAATAAGAAAAGAACCTCATCGCTCCGTTTCACTAGTAAGCGGGCTGGAAAAGTGTATGGAAATCCATTATTAACGCGTTGAGCGTGCAGAAAAAGTCTATGAAATTCATTATCAACGTGCTGTTTTTTTTATTTATTCTTTTTTTATTAACTTTCCGAAAAAGCCAGTGATCACTATAATTTTACCGACTGTATCTTTTTACATTATGCTATTTTGCTTCCTGAACATTAATTTTCTGAGTTTTCAACTTTTATTCTATTTACTCGAGAAGTCGAGACGGCGTGTATTATTGATAGTTATGATGATTTAATGAGATTTATTGACACCCCGCCAGAGTTAAAAGAAACTGCCCAAGCGTTCATTGAGAACCTAAATATCCGTGAAATCAAGAAACGAATATAAAGCTCCCAGACAAAAGTATTACATTAAATTTTAATAACTGTAACAACTTTAATATAAATTTCAATTACAGAATTTGTATTTTATTTCCTTGTAGGTAAGTATAGCATAAATCATATATGTATCCTTCGAAAGAAAGTGCTATTAGCAACTGGGGTGTATTAAAGCCTTCGGCTGCGCCTCTGGCCTAAAAATACACCCTAGTTGGTCTTCACATTCTCCCTTCGGTGAAAAATGTGCTATAGCTAGTTGTTTTTTTCATATTATATTTATTCAATTATTTTTCAATATGTC